TATATATTTATTATGTTAGCGTGATGTTGAATTTATATTAAGAAGTTGAAAAATAAAATATGTAAAAATAGATTAAATTAACACATAATAATGTAAAAAAACTGTTTAACCTTTTTTTTTGTTTAGTTTTATTATATAAAATAAAGTAAAGATAAGCGAATTATTTTATGCATGTTCTGATAGCTTTAGTCTTTTGTAACTACCCACGCAGAACATGTGTTTTCCTAACATGCGCCGTTTACTTCCCAAACTGGGCTACCGAGCAAAGCAAAACAGATAGAGATAAAATGTTACAAAAGGCAATGCGTGTCATGCACTTATGTCTATATTATATTATCACTCATTTTAATTGTATCTCACAAGCTATACTTTATTAGACTAACCCAATTTAATTTAGAGATTTGTTTTGATCAATCTTGTTAACAGTTAATCATGAGAATTAAATACATCTTAGTTTGTTCCATGTATATAACACAATCATATAACATTTATAAAATTAGTCACTCAAAATAATCTCTCCTCTTTTTTTTTTCTTTAACTTAACTTTCATTTGGTTTTATGTTTAAAAATATTTCTTTTGATTTTAACTTTAACTTAGTTTTCATTTGGTTTTATGTTTAAAAATATTTATTTTAAATTTTATATAAATTAAAGTTCTGTTCCATGATAAAGAAAGAAAGTGCGAAAAGAAAAGAAAAGAAAATAAATAAAAAGCATATCGTTTGATGAAAAAGTCAGGTGAAAATGAATAAAAATTATTATTTAATTAAAATTTAATATTTATATAATTACAAAATTACATATATAATTATCCTTAGCTAAAAATATTTATTAATAAAAAGATAATTTTATAAAATAACGTTTTTTTTTTCATTTTCTACTCTTTTTCATTCATATATAAAAAGAAAGCAGTCAAAAATATTTTGTTATTACTTTTTCTACTAACAAAAAAAAATGTTAATTTTCGCTCATATATTTTTCACTCTATATTTTCCATGCAAACAAACAAAGTGTAAGTTAAATATAGTTAATTAAATAAATTATTTAAATAAGTTGCTCCTATATTTTAAATAAATTTGTTAGCATAGTGTTGAAGTATTTAAAATGGGAAGTATTTATTGAAAAAACAAAAAATAGATATTTTTGCTTTATGATGCAATTTTAATTTAAGCTTTTAATTACTTTAAAATCAACGTTGATATGATCAATGATTATATATATATATATATATATATATATATATATATATATATATATATATATATATATTTATTTATTTATTTGCTTATCGTTACTCACTTATTTTAAGGAGTATATTAGTAAATTATAACTTTGATGTTCTTAAAATGCACCAAATTTTCAAGTTGTACTTTAATTTTTTTTTTTTTCAAGTTACACTACGTTATCATAAAACTATACTATTATTTCTTTGTTAAACCGGATTGTTGTCATTCAATTGCACCTACTTTGTACTTTATTGGATATTTCAAGTTTTTCTGTGGATAAGCAATTTTCCTTGAAAAACTTATACTTTTTAATAAGTTTTTTTTTTCAACCAACTTTCATTGCCTTGTGATTAATATACAATTTATTATTATTTAAATTTTATTAAGGAAAATATAATGAAACAAAAAGTATATTCAATAAACAAATAACATCTACATATTTGTTATTTTATGTAACTTTCAATGGACAGTTCATATTATATATTCCAAAAAGTTTTATATTTAGATAAACTACTTGATATATATTTTTAGGAGTGTTTTCATATAAAATATTAAGATATACATCATGCTCAAGATAAGTTATGCATGTTAGTCGGGCTAAAAAAAAGTTATACAACTTGAATAAACGAGTTACATACATTAATTGGATTAAATATATTATGTCAATTCAATCTTTTATTTTTGTGTTGAAAATTTTTCGCTCGATCACACGTCTTCTTAATACTACTCAAAATTGAGTTATATTGAAAAACTATAACGAATGAAATTAATCAAAATGAATTAATAGAAAAAATATAATCAATATAATTACTCGAAAATGAGTTACAAATTAAAACTAAGTTATTTTTTAGCTCAGAACATAAATTAGCAATTATGTATTGAAGTATAACTATCAATATAACGTAAAATATTCCATCTAAGCAATTGATTATGCACTAAATTATGTGTACGAGGATAATATATAATGCTCCGTGTCAAAATATAAGTGATCAGCTATATATAAAATTTGTAAAGCATGTTATAAAATTTTATGTCTTAAAAAATGCATAAAAGTCATTTAACTATATATGTATAGAAATCTATTTAGCTATATACAAAAAAGTCCTCAAGCTATATTCAAATTCATTAAACTATATTTATAAAGTATGAACAGTCATATACACCGAAACATTGTGAGTTATATTTCTTATGTTTCTCAGTATGCGTCATTTAAGGTTTGTCTCCACTAACTAATAACAAAAATATTAACTTCATAACTTACAATAATTTACTTTTTAATATTTTCAATAATACCCTTGTTATTTTCTCATTCTCTTCATCAAAATTACTCATAATAAATTATCTTCTCTCTACAAGAAAATGAGAGAATGTGAAACATTTGTTTCTCATTTCGGTAAAAGTAAACTTCCCTCTATGATTTTTAATCTTAAAATTTTTATCACCAAATTATAAGAATATTTTTGCTTAAAAATAAATTAATTAATCACTTATAGTTTCACTCTATATGTATTGAATCTTAACGTCAAAAATATATTTTTATTATCTTATATAAAATCACTATAATTTTGTAATTTCACAAAACCATTTTTTTATTTGATTAATTACATTTTTCATCATAAATTTTATTATTTTTACAATTAAATGCATTTTATTGATTAATAAGAAGTTAGATGAAGAGATTAAAAATAATAAATTATTCATCATAATGTTGTTTAATACAAACTTAATTAAAATATCACTATAAAAAATTTATTTTTTACCGATGGATATTTAATCAAGAAAAATAAGTGATTATTGACGAATATTTTTGTTGATAAATGAATAATTAATTATGCACTTTTTTGTCTTACCGATCGGATATATCTATCAAGTAAATTAATCATGTCAGTAAATTAACCATTAGTTATTGACGGATAAATTAAAAATTAATTACAAACGGATATATTCGTCGATATATATTTAAAGTATATAAATATATTTGTATTTATATATTTTATATTTATACGGATATACATTTATTTGTATATAAATATAATTTATTTGTAAGTTATTATAAAAAATTGTAATAGTTTAATTATGGAATTACCTTACAATGCTAAGATACTGAGTTCAAAACAATTTTCTTAATTGGATAATAATAGATAATTATCTGCAATATTTTCTAACATATTATTCAATCACAAATATTATATAATAATAGCAATAAAAATTTATTTAATAATTTGATACAGACCTTTTGAAGTGATCGATCATATCTTATTAAAAGAGTTTTTTTTTTTTCAATCGGAATCCACAAATTAGCACATAAAGCTAAAAATTTCACTCCATTAATTTAGTTGACCAGAGATGTTGAATTTCCAATAAAAATATTGATGCATCTTTTAAAAAAAATTGTAATAATTTAGCTCGATACAATATCACAAATGTGGTTGATGACGTTAATTATATTATATTAAGGAATTTGATTTGAGATTGAAACATTCCACGTCATTTGTGGGACACATAAATCCCTCTCAACTTGAGAGTTAGATTTTGGTAATAATCTTAAGTTTATAAACATATTTTTTCTTTTTCTTGTAATTCACTTATATGTATTTTAATAATAAAATCATGATAAAATTGATTATAATAATCCTATATTAAAAAAAGTTGATTTGAGGTTGAGTCATAATCAATCCTCTCATAAAAATTCTTAGGAATTTATTATGTTTTCCAAAATCGGCGTGATGAATAGAATATCTGTGGCAACTTTTTGTTAATAATATGTTTCCCTTATCAGGACAACTTAAGTATCCATGACTAGAATGTTTACAAATTACACAGCACGATTCTTTTCTTGTAGGTTTCATCTATCTTAATAAAGTGCAACGTGTTCTTTTATCCTCGTTCTTTTCTTAAGAAAGAAGTGTCAGGGAATTCTTCGTCCTAATTTACGTTGCCCGTCATTTAACACTAGAGTCACCCATAAAGAACCCATGAAGGGTTCGGTATAAAATACATATGGGAAATCATAGTCACACTCTCATTTTAACATTTTTTATTGATTAAATGTATGCCTAAAATTTGGTCTATATTAAATTAACAATTTTTAATTTCTTAGCTTTTAAAAAAGTTTAACTATAATAGAGTGTTACAAAGAATTATTAAATGATGTAATATTAGATAAGACTATTGAAATCTATATCTTATCTATTTAAGGTTTTAATATATATTAAGAATAATAATAGCTAAATTACTTATAAAAAAAATAAAATAATAAAATAATAATAATAATAATAATAAGTTCAACTTATTATTGGGTTAGAAAAATGTGTGGCATCAAAAGTTTATTTATTTATTTATTTTATAAAGATGGATTTTCAAAAACATCAAATAAATAAAAAAATTATATATTTCAATTAAATTAATAACCCTAAAGCCATATATATATATATATATATATATATATATATATATATATATATATATATATTTATTTATAATTTTAGTCCTTAAATTTAATATCATGAAATATTTTTATTTATATATTTATAATTTTAGTTTCTCACATTTTTTAATTTTTAGTTTTTATATTTATTTATTAATAATATATTATTTAATTTAAAATGGTCAAAATTGATAGCTAAAATTAACACTATTGAAATCATCAATATTTTGCAAGAGATAATATACTTCATTTTTTCAACTCTTGTGACACAAGAATCACACAGGAAAAGTTACATTAATGAATGAGCAGCAAAATAGATGCTTTCTTGTTTTGATAACAACATATCCATGCTTTCCGTTCCTTCTAAGCTTTGTGGAATCATTATTGTTTACATGGGCCTCACCAAGGCATCGTCAAGTCATGCCCTATGCCTTTTGGTGAGTATAAATAAGCCAACACAAACAAGAAAAGCATCGTTTACTTTGAAACATTGACTTCTAGATAGCTAAGGTGTATCAGGATAATGATGATGATGTCGAAATCAGCTTCAAGCAACACTGTGCAGCAAGGGAAGACATTGCTGCAGAACCCATTTGAGTTCAGTGATGAACACATTCTGGATAATGTCTACAGAACCCACTTTCATTGTGTTGAGAAGTGCGATGTGCAATCTCTTCACACCGTTGCCTCAACAGTAATCAACCACTCCATTCAAATCACAGACACCGTCCTTGCCAAGGTAATCATTTTTTTAATGGTTTGTGTCATTCATATGTTTACATATTTTTCTTCTATCAAACCTTCCGTATCTAAGATCACAATAAAGTAACTTCGATAATATATATATATATATGTGTGTGTGTGTGTGTGTATACATAGAATGATTACAGTTATCTTGTTGGTTCTATACCATGAAGTACATTACATGATTTTCTGACACAGGGTAGCCAACTCAGTGATCGATACAGAGAAGAAAGCACCATTACTTCCCAACAGCTAACGGCAAAACTCAAGCGAATTGCTTGTCAGGTGCGAGCATATTTTCTATAACATAGTCCTATATGTAATAAGGAATATATATTCTTTTTATGCCTCCATAGTTTCACATAATAATGAATTGAATAAAGTTTTAGTATCTTTGAAATTAATTTAGAAGAAAATTTGTATCTTCAAATTTTCTAATGTTTTTATGTTTAATATTTATTATATATAATAATTTAATTTTAACAGTAATTTCATTGTTTTTAAACTAACAATATTAATATATGGCTTTCTTTAAATTAATATATTATAATATTACTTAAAAAAATAGTAATTAATGATAAAAAATCGGTCATGAAATAATCAAAATCGATCACTGCTAAAAATAGTGATCCAAATATCAATTCGTGTCAATTTTTTTTTGTCACTGATATATAATGACTAATCAATTATTAAATAAATCAAATCGAATCAATTACAATGTTAATTTAAATGTGACATAACATTCATGATAACTAAATCAGTATATATATTTAATATTAGAAATTAAAAAGAAATAAACAATGTAAAAAAATTTAGAGATATTAATTTTATTAAAAAATTATTTAACTCACTAATTGTTTATCATGAAACAACTGTACAAATTTAAGTTTCAAAAAAGTGTTTCAATTAGAAAACTATTTAATAATGATATATGTTACTAAAGTAACATTGTTCAAGTGTGTAATTGACTTAACATCAGAATCTCTTCAATAGATCCCATTCTGCAGAGAGAAAATATTCCCTCCTCTTTATTAATCTTTACAGCTCTAAGTATTTAATGAATTAGTTGATATTCAATAAATTTTTTAGTGTTAATAATATGATATTTAAAACATATGAGTATTTATTATTAAATAACATATTTATGAAAACTTAAATTGTATAAAATTTGATATACATTATTATTAGAGAACATTATAAAATTTAATGATTGGAATAATTAACTTTATTTTATAAAAAATATTAAAAATATAAATGATTAACTTTTACAACATAATGTAAATGAATCTGAATCATGATATTATGAAGTGAAGTATGAAACGTTCCTTCTTGTTTAATGGTTAAAAGTTATGAAAAAGAGAGGAAATGACGAAAATGACAGTTTGTGTGTATAATTCTTTCTATATTGTGATGATTTGTTTGTTGGTGAATTTTGAGAGAAAATAAAAATGAATGCTTGACAGAAAATTTAAAAAGAATACATGCAAATGATTTGTTTAGATGAAAAATACAAGAAAATGTTAAAAATAATAGATTTTTTCTTGAGTTTTTGATGAAGAAAATTCACATAATAGCTCAAATGAATAAGTTTCAAATAACAAAAAAATGATAATTTTTCCATATTAGAAATTAAATTAATTTTTAATACCAATGAGTTTGAAACATCAGAAATTTAAATTGATTTATCTAAAGAAAGTATTTTGAAACGAAAGAATTCATAACAATGTCTTAATTTTTTTTATTTTATTTTTTATCTAAACACCACCAGAAGCAATTTAATAAAAAATTGCTAACTTTTATTATATAATTATATTTAAAATAAAAGTACATTATTTTTGTGGTCTCTAATATTCTAAACAAATTCGGTTTTGGTAGATAAAATTTGTGAAAGTAAATTATTTTAATTTTGGAAATTTTTAAAAAATATAATGAGTTTCTCAAGTTTATTATTTAAAGAGTAAACATTATTTGATGCTTCAAATTTATTATTTAAAAACTAAAAAATATTTAACGGATTAAATAAATTTTAAATTTTTTAAAATTCAAATTTATTCTAATTTTAAAATCTAATACATTTCTTGAAGTTTTTTAAATTATACTCATACCCTGTGTTTAAAAAAAATGTTATATAAGCTTCTTCTTTATTATACAAACATGTACCTTTCAAGTTTCTAAAAACATTTATAATGGCTACAAGGAAGGTCACTCTACAGGGTAAAAATAAAAAAAGATGTAAGTGTATTTATTTTAATTTTAAAAACTAAATTTATAATGAATTGATAATAGAAAAATGATTATATAAACAAAATTGAAATTGTTGGAGATGTAGATGGTGTGCACTGCTCGTGGTGAGCACTATGCGCATCACACAACAATGCTGATTCTGGAACAGTTGAAAGCATACTCGTGGGATGCAAAGGCACTCATAGTCCAAGCCGCTTTTGCCCTGGAATACGGCAAGTTCTTGTACCTTCCCCTGACCACACAGTATCAGCAGTCTGAGAAATCTCTGGCTGATCTCAATGGGCTTCTCATGATTCAGCAAAACACTCAACAACTCACATTTTTCAACCTTGTGGTGAAGAAGGTGATGCAGGTCATTGACTGCATCACCGAGTGGAAGAGGCTAACCAGTGCAGGGTATGACATTAAGGATGTGCCTACCTTGGCAGAGACTCTGCATGAGATCCCTGTTGTTGTGTATTGGGCAATCTTCACCTTTGTCACTTGCACTGGTCAAATTGATGACTTCACTGACCACAGGTAAGCCTTGGTTGTATAAACTCCAAGTTTGTTTTCTTCTTTATAGGTTTCATTTTAGATAATTTTTTTAAGAGAAAAAAAATCATTTTTTTATAAGTGAACAAAAATATTTTATACAAGCCAAATTGAAAATTAAAAAAAAGGAAGTAAACATGCTATTTTTTATATAAATTAAATGCTCTTAATTTAAAAGTTTTATTTAATTTTTTTAATGTATCTAATAGACGATATATTGTTTTGTTCATTCATTTATTTTGAAAACTAACGTTATAAATTTATTTACTGACATGACAATTTTTATAGTTTGTTTCATGTGGCTAAATTGATCAAATAAGAATAAAAATTAGTAGCAAGATAAATTTGATATAATATAACTGATGAAAATTTTAAATATGTTACCAACTCTATTGAATTTTAATATAATTTGTTACGAACTTATTTTAAAATTTTTTTAGTTAGATGGTAAAAACATTTTATGAGATTTCACTGTTTTTATGTAAATTTTATAAAATAGAAAAGAAAGTAAAAAAAATATGCCTTTCTATAATTAAAAATGAAAATAAAAAGATTTATATTGCTAGAAACTCACATATTTCATAGGAATATTTTGATAATTTTTTTTAATTTATAAAAAATAAGTTTTGAACAAATTCAAATAATTTTTTTCAATAAAATTTTAAGAAAAAAACATTTTTTTTATTAACCAAATTAAACTATTCCTTAATGCAGGATACATTTATGATAATACAAATAGTCTACTCACATTAGTTCTTAAAAAGTTCAAATAACGTCAAATATTATAAAAATGTGATACATATCAATGCTTAAAAGGGACAATATGGAGTTACATTTATTTATGAATTCTGAGCATCAAGTTAGGGTTTTTATTTGACTAATGTGTGAACCATCAAATTTCTCAAATTGGAATTTGCACTATTCAGGGTTAAATAAAAAATAATTGCAATTTCTCTATTCAGGGTTCACAAACATGAATTATCGAAAAACTTTGAGAACAAGCTTGACCTCATTCTGAGAAATTTTAGGGAACATCTGGAAATGTGTAGCAGGGAGATAGGTTAGTTATTTTTTCTTTGTACCTTATTCCCTTTTTTCTAATGCAATTTCTACACTAGTGAAGATGCTGAATTGAAGTTCATTTTTTCTTATAAAAAATATTAAATATTTTTTTTGGTGGTAATTGCAGGGAGAATAGAAGACTACTCCAGGCGTAAGAATATTGTCAATATTACTGGAAAAGATATTGTGAAGGTTTTGAAAGCACTCATCATCTCCAGTGAGAACAAAGATTCAAGACATAATGTGATTAATGGCCTCACTTTAGAACTGGTAATATTCACTAAGGAAAGTTTACAATGGTCCTACCATTAGTATTACAATTTTAATCCTATTCCCCATGCATTTAATGAGTGTTCTTATATAGTTCTGCAAGCATAATTAAGTGGAATAAGTCAAATTTTTAGTAGGATTACTATGAAAATATTTATTAAATATTGACTAATTTAGAGTTAAAAAAATAGTTTAGAAAACTATTTCAATTAAATTGATTTTTAATTAAAATCTGAATTAGTTTTTAACTTCAATTATCAAGATTTTAGTTAGGTAAAATTATCAATTATAAAGTGTACAGAGGCTTCAACTTAATCAAAATATTTAAATAAATAAAATAAAATTTTTGAAAATAATTTCAATATTTCACAATTATTTTTAATTTCAAGTAATATACAATTTAGTCCTTTGTGCTATAATAAAATACAATTTAATTTATAAATAAGAACTAAATTGCATTTTAATAATATATAGGGATGTTAAAAAAATTATAAAATATATAATTTACTTGTTAGATTATTTATTAATATTTTAGAATTAATTAGAAAAGAAATACACTTGAAAAGAATAAAAAGGTCATTAAGGTTACTAATTAAAAATTATAATTTAATTTAATAATTTAAAATTTTAATTTTAAATTAGTAACTACAATTCTAGATTAAAATAAATCTTCACTTAATGAATATAATAATTAAATATTATAATGGATGATTAATGAAATTATATATATATATATATTAGAGAGAGAGAAAAAAATTAAAATTGTGTCATATGTAAATGCAATTCTTTATTTTACAAAAAAATATTATAAAAATATTATCATTTGAAAAAAACAATTTTGCAACCGAACGATGGTAGGTTTCAGTGGAAGGTAGTTCGTTACGGAATTAGACAAAGGAAATATATGATGAAAGAATTTCTGATAAGGAGATGTCATAATTTTTTTTAATGAATAGATACGATGAAAAATTTCTTTGGAGATAAAAATATATAATAAAATTTTAATTAATTAAAAATATAATAATATTATATTATAAATAAAGCAAAAATCTGATCTTATTATATTTGTTTTAGAAGATTGAGTTAAATATTCTTTATTTTTAATAATATATTTTTTTTGTCTACCAATAGGATTTATGCATTGAATATTTATATTTTCCGAATGCTCTTACTACAATAGTAAGATGAGGCACAAAATTAATTGTCCTTCATCTTATTTAATCATTTAGTTTTCATGATTATGAGTATAAAATTTAATAATATATTGATAATCTTAAACATGATTTCAAAGTATTGTAATGTGAAAGTACACTAATTATAAATTGCTCATGAGTTAATTGTATTCTATTTCGACAGGTTAAAATTGAAGAGTTTAGGAAGAAGCATGTCTTATTGTTCATTTCGGGCCTTGAACATAATGATGAGGAGATTCACCTTCTGAAAACGATTTACGAGAAATTGAAGGAGAAACCAAGAGAAGTAGAAGGTTACAAGAAGGAGGATTTCAGGATTTTGTGGATCCCCATTGTGGATGAATGGACCGAGGATCGAAGGAAAACATTAGAAACTAAATTACAAAGAACCAAGTTTGGATGGTATGTGGTGAAACATTTCAGTTTTGAAACAGGCATCAAGTTAATCAAAGAGGTGTTCAACTATAGTGAAAAACCTGTTATCCCATTGATAAGTCCTGAAGGTAAAGTGGAAAACATTGACACAAAGCAGATAATATCTATGTGGAGCATTGATGGATTTCCATTTCGAACTTCTGATCACACTCGACTTACTCAACAATGGAATTGGTTTTGGTCTGAAATGACCAAGCTTAACCCAAGAATAGGGGACTTGGTAAGTACTACTACTACTACTTAAATCATTGCATGTTCTATTTGATTTATGTATAATAAAAACTAAATCCCACTAGAAAGTAATTGAAATTCACATAATTGATTAAACCAATTTACATTTTTTCAGTAACAAAAGTGGTATAAGAAAAAATTTATATTATTACTAACATACTCTTTCAAAATATTAATTATTATTGATTACATTCTACGTTACCAAATATTGGAAATAATAATTAAATTTAAAAGGTCAAAACCTTAAATATTAATATAATTTACAAAATTTTAGTTGGGTCATATCCCTTTGTCTCCCAAGAAATTTGAATTGGAGAGTGGAAAGAAGAAATTAAGAATTTCACTTTTAGAAATAAACTCTTCTCTACAGAAAGAACATCTTAATTAGTGTGCTCTTTTCTTCTATCCTTAAGTCATATGAATTTAACTTATATAATAAAGTGTTAGAAAAGATAGTACAACATTCCTTTTGTTCTATAAAATGTTTTAGGTGCTTTTAAGTTTTCAGGTTTTTATGATAGCATACAATATAATGGTCATGTCTCCACATAGATTCTGCCATTGAATTTTCCTTGCTATAGCAAATATCATGCTTTTATTGGTACTTACATTTTTGCTTATAACTTTTAATACGCACATATGTACTGTAGTGTGAATATGACCTAAATTGTTATGATCTAGATACATGTATAATATAATGTTGAAAAATCAGATTGAGGAAGATCGTTATCTCTTCATATATGGAGGCACAGACACTATGTGGATCCAAGAATTCACAACTGCCATAGAGAAATTGAAGAGGGATGTTGAGACATTAAGCTCGCAAGTAGACATCACAGTAGACTCATACCAACTAGGAAGGGAAGACCCTAAGATTGTGCCACGCTTTTGGATTGCTATTGATAGCTTGCTTGCAAGTAGGAAGCAACAAATGATGAAGGGTGGTGATCAAGGGGTGCAAGACTTTGCAACAAAAGAGATAAAGAGGTTGCTCTTCCTCAAACAAGACCCTAAGGGATGGGTCATTCTTAGTAAGGGGCACAATGTGAAGCTCCTAGGTCAAGGTGAGGCCATGGCTCGCACGGTCAAGGACTTGTGCGTGTGGCATTTGAAGTTGCATGAAGAAGTGAGCTTTGATGTGGCGTTCAAAGAGTACTATGAGAGCATCAAGGTCAAGGATAGTCCTAAAAAATGTGAGCATAGTGAAATTTCTAACTACCCTACAGATATATTGGCTCATATACCTTGCCCTAATATGGAATGTGGACGTTCCATGGAGGTAACTTCTGTTAATTATAGATGTTGTCATGGTCTTGATCCATAGACAATTACCATGCTCGGGAACCATGTGATGAGAATTCACCTTTTGTTTTCAATTTGTGCTCGTGTGTTTATTATTTAGTTTTTAGCTACTTGCTTGTCAAGTACTAGACAATAATCATTTTCATGTAGTATGTTTGTTTGTTTCTCAATGAGTTGCTTTGAAGGAAATAAGAATTTTTTTTTCATAAAACTTTTATTCCTCTATTAATATTATTTGGTCCGGAAATTAAATGAAAGTATATATATATATATATATATATATATATATATATATATATATATATATATATATATAATTTTTCATGCCTTTAAGAACTCAAATTCCTTTTACATCTTTATATATTCATTCTAAAATTTCCTCTTAAAGTATCTATTTTAAATTTAACACTCAATGTTAATTATTTTCTTGTACGTTAAATTAAACATATAATAATAATAATAATAATAATAATAATAATAATAATAATAATAATAATAATAATAATAATAAAACCAAACACGTGATCATTATTGGGAAGTCAATGTTATTGTTTGATGATAATTATACAATCATCTAGAATAAATAAATGAAGAATTGTGCTTTTGTTTAAATGGTGAAAAAAACAAAAAACAAAAAGAGAAATAAATGAAAATTGTTTAAAGATTGAGTTAAGCTGATTTGAAATAGGCATATTCCATTTGGCTAAAGCTCTTCGTCCCGGAACTCGTCCACACAAGGCTGCCTATATATGGATGAAGTTATGCATCATATATATATATATATATATATATATATATATATATATATATATATATAATGTATGTCATTTTATTTTATCAAAGAGCATTTTTTAAGTTAATTATTTTATTTATAAACAATGCATTTAACCTGTTTTCATTAAAAGATAACATAATTCAATTTTTCTTAATTTGTTGCATTTTACATAATTTTAACATAATAAACAATATACATGCATACATCTACATTGCATATTTATTTTTCTTCTTTTGTAGGAGAGGTAATTTGAGATAAGTTAAATTGATATAAGTATTTCTTGATCTAAAAGCATTTTTTAAGCTAATTATTTTATTTATAAACCATGCATTTAACATGTTTTCATTAAAAGATAACAAGATTTAATTTTTCTTAATTTGTTGTATTTTACATAGTTTTAACATAATAAACAATATACATGCATACATCAACATTACATATTTCTTTTTCTTCTTTTGTAGGAGAGGTAATTTGAGATGAGTCAAATTGATATAAAGAAATGTCAAATTGATGCCGTCAAGTTTCACTCTTCTTGGAAGCCCAAGTTTGCTTGTATAACCCACTTATAGAATGTTATAAATGAAAATTTTGAATCAAGTAAATTAAAACTGGTGCGGGAATCCAATTTAGCTGAATTAAAGACTAGCAAGAATAAAGAATTAAATGCAAATCAGTGTTGGATCACTCAAAATAGGAAAGAAGCAAACTATTTCCTCCAAATCAGTCCCAAAAATTTCTCTTCACATCAATAAGATTTTGCAATTATTTATTTGAGAAATATTTGATTTTATTATAATTAATTTTAGGTTTAATTTCTTTGTTCAAACCCCTATAATATAGAGGTCTTAAGACAATCCACAATCCACAATCTCCTAGCTTGGGGTGAGAATTGCTCGTCCCCATTTTCTTCTCTTACTCTCAATTCGTAGTTTAGTTTTTAGTTAGGCGAGTTCATCTACTATTACTGCACTTTTGTTTTGTTCTCGTTTACTTAATTTGCAATTTCTATTGAATTTTTCAGTTTATCTTGCTCTAATTATTTTATTTATTCAGTGCTTATTTTAATATTTAATATTTAATTATTTAGAATTTTTATTCCAAGTATTACATAATTTTCATTTTCGATTCGTCTCGTTTCCAATTCTAATTCGCAATTTAGTTTAGAGTTATCGCTTTCAAAAATTTTAAATTTAATTACTTGCACTATTTTATTTCAAAACAATTATTGATTCTTGCAATTTTAATTAAAAACACTTTATTTTATTTTTATAAATTTAAGTTCTTTAAATTCTATTTCTATTTAATTTTAATTATCGTTAATATTCTATAGCAATTTAATTTTAATTTTTATTATTCTACATCAATTTATTTCTTTTTCACTCTTCCATTTACCCCCTATTTACTATTATTTACTATTTTAGAGAGAATGATATGTGATAATGAGTATGCTCCTATAATTGTGTCCTTGTGAGATTCGACATGGGTTATCTATACTGCATTAGTTTAGTAACCTGTTTATTATTTTTGATCAATATTTTGTACAACCAAAATGTCGTTATCAAATGACGTCGTTGTCGGGGACACAATTGTGTTGCATAATATTGTTTAATATCATTCTCCTTTTTTTTTCTAATTTACTTTTTCTACCTTTACTTAAAAAATTCAAAAAAAAATTCAAAAAAAATTATTTTGTTTGTGCTCGCTAACATTTCACGCAGGAAATTTTGGTTAAGCCATCCTTGCAAGAAAATTCTTGAAAACCATTCTCATAGTAAACTCTGGATATAGCTTGGTAGTGTGAGAGTGAATGTGTAGGAGGATTTTGGCTAGGAAAGACTTGGTACTTAAGCGTGTCCATTAGTGACCCACCTCTCTTTCCTGGGAACCTACCCACCTGGTGTACTTGTTCACGGTCTACCGTTGCCATTCCAGTAAACAAGTGATTTTGAGGATATGAACTTTGAAAGAAAATTGGACTAGCTAACATCTTTGGTACGACAATTGGCCATAAACCAATACACATTTCAACAACAACAATATGTATGTGGGATATGCACCTCCGTAGATCATCTCACTGATGTATGCCCTCAACATCAAGAGACACCAAGCTTAATTAGGGAAACAGTGGGTGGTATGTTCCTTGAACAACAACATTACGGGAAATTAAATTCATACATTCCTCAACAGAAGTACAACCCGTACTTAGCCACATATAATTCTAGTTGGAGAGACCATCCAAACTTGAAATATGATCTTGTCTTCAACCAGCCACCAAAGATTCCTTTCTAGCCAAGCTATCAAGGCATTTATCAACAACAAGTGTATAAACCTCCCCCGCTGAGACAACAGGCGAATCCACACCTTGTACTAATACAGCAAAGCCCAAGTGGTACTATGCAACAGGATAACTCTAGACCTACCCTAGAAGATCTTATGAAGCAACTCACACAACAAATGATAACGCAGAACACACGGAGCACAAAACTAGAGTAGCTCATGACGACCACCTTCAATCACATGAAAATCCAAATTGGACAATTGACCACTACCATGAATTCACTACAACAGCAAGGTGCAAATGCAATTCTCTCACCAATAGTGATTAATCCTAATGAGAATGTACTGTTGATGTTTTGGCAAGCGTACTAATAATCAACTATAGTATAATGATTTTTAAGTGAAAGTGTCGATCCCACGATGAACGGGTTCAATTTAAAATAAATAGTTTATCTCAAACAACATATATACAAGGATATCCATTTAATTCATGATTGATAGTAATGATTTATACTTGTAGACCCCAAATCTTGTCCGACCATACAACAAGTTCAAAAATCCTCCGCTTTGAAGATGGACAAGGCTTCATAGGGCCCCTAGTAGTGTTAGTTAAGCTCCATTTAAGAAAAGGAGGGTTTTCTTAGAAAATAAAAATTAGAAATTTTGTCAGAGAAGTCGGGACGACCGTCCCAAATTCCAGACGACCGTCCCACCTGTTTGGCAAGCTCGAGACAGTCGTTCCAAATTCCAGACAGTCGTCCCACCCTCTTAGGAAGTTTGGGATGGTCGCCTCGAAATTGTAGAGGGTCGCCCCACCTGACAAAATATGGGACGGCCGTCCCAGCCTCCTAGGTGAGCGAGCCTATAAATAGGACTCTGATTCTCACCATTCCACACACCTTCTCAGACCCTCTCACGCTCTGAGACACTTTTGGACATTTTTTGCACTATTTCAGAGGTCCGAGTAATGTTTCCGATAGTCCGTTTGGACAAATTCGATTAAGGAAGTCTCTTTTTGAGACATCCGACTCTCGAGAGTTTTAAATATTATTTGTTGGAGGGAGGAGCGTTCTTGTAGAGCAAGGGGATTGTTAAGTGGTAAAAATTTGATATAATTATACCTTGAATTGTTATGAAACCACTTAACTGATGCTAATTCTAATATATTTTTCTCCCAATATAGGATGAATTCGAGAATACCTTGATACAAGAGTAAGGAGCATAATTGTCAGCAGAATTGGAGGACAGAGGAAAATTTTCAGCATGGAAGTCGCTTGAGCGGGATGGATTCTCGCTTGAGCGAATGTTAGTTATTCTTCTCTGGAGTTCACTCGCTCAAGCGAGACAAGATTCGCTTGAGCGAATATCAGTTATTCTTCTTTGGAAGTCAATCGCTCAAGTGCAGGAAAATTCGCTTGAGCGAATGTTAATTATTCTTCTCTGGAGTTCATTTGCTCAAGAGAGCATTTTGTCGCTTGAGTGAAAACATACTACTTTTTCTTGAGCGAAAGTTCTCGCTCGAGTGAAAGACGCGAAGCCCAAAAACCCAAAATTTTCCTATAAAAAGAGAAGATGTGTTTTGAGATAAGCAAGCGGTTTTGGAGGAGAAGTTGTGCGACTACTGCTAGGGTTTTGTCCCATCTTCATCAATTCTTCACTTCTTCCACATTTGGAGCATTGTAATGGCCAACATGAGCGGCTAACTTCATTCTCTTAGGATTCAGTGCACTTCCTTTGAACTCTTTTGTATCATGGTGATATTTTGAGATATTAATCTATGTTTTGATGTTGTTATTCTTAACCTTTGTGCTTTGGAATGATTTATTCTTGATTGTTTGAGGTATGATTGGAAAATATATCTTGAACCCTAGATCACGGTAAGAATATTTGTTACGTTAATTGTCAGGAATGGAATGAATGTATCAATTGCTTAACACCATAAACCTAATGCTGGAAAATCTCTTAATTGT